AATGACCAGGTTTTCTTTTTCCTTTGGCCAACAGAGAACTTAGCTAGACCAGGGATAGGGAACCTTTTTTCTGCCAAGGGCCACTTGGATATTTATATCATCATTTGCAGGCCCAACTGGCGTGTATCAGTGGTTGAGCATCAACCTATGAACCAGGAGGTCGCGATTCAATGCCCTAAACATGCCCGGGTTGCAGGCTCAATCCCTAGTGTGGGGCATGCAGGAGGCAGCCAATCAATGATTCTCTCTCATCATTGATGTTTGTAGCTCTCTCTCCGTCTTCTACACACATACATATATATATTTTTTAAATTAGCCTGCTGTATTTGGTCAAACACTTAATTAACTTACCCCTAATGCCTTGGCAGGGCCAGAACAAATTATTTCGCAGGCCTTCTATGGCCCTCAGGCCGGACATTCCCCACCTGTGGGCTATACCTTTATAGCTCAGCTGATGACTGTATCAAGTTCATGGTTTCCATAATGGCATTCTGGTCGTCTCCTAGACATTGATCACCCCAACTAAACACCTGTGTCTGCCCCATGAACCTGGGTCCACCTGGCCATGTTTGTGACTCCAGCCATCTCTGATTAGACCAAGGGATACTCATTTAAAACCTGGCTGAGCCAGTTAGATTTCCTGAATTGGATATTTGGACCAAGGCATGGACATTGTGAATTAACAGTTGAAGTGGATGCTGGGGGCGGGGGGCACCACCAGATCCCCTCCTCACCAATGAGGCCCCCTTTCTCTCAGCTGCTGGGTGTTGGCAGCTGAGGTCCTCTCTGAAAACTAACCCTCACCAGAGTTGCCTGGCACAGACTTCTACCCACGGGGGTAGCCCAGATCCAAAGACGGAGATCCCAGTACACGGGCCCAGCCCCCGTGGCACGTGGGCAGCATAATTTCTGGGTAAACCCTCTGAGGGCAGCAGCCTGTCATCAGTCCAGGGTCCCCTCCCATGAATTCCAATGTGTCTCCATTGTTTCCCAGGGACTCCCCCTTTCACCCCCTGCCCATGCTGTGCGAGGCTCTGGCTGCCCCTGTATCACTGGTGCACAAACCATGAAAATATGATCTGACTGGAGCACAGCCAATATGTCACAATGCACATAGGCGCCTATTGTACAGTATGAACAATCGCCCGTCAGCCTAAGTATTGCCTGTGGCTGCTTTTGTGTTACAATGGCGGGACTCAGTGGTCACAGCAGAAACTCGATGGCCAGGAAAGAAACTAAAATGTTCATTGTCTGGCCCTTTCAGAAAACGTTTGCTGACCCCTATCCAAGAAAGAACAAATGAGATAGATAGGCACTCCCCACACAGAGAACGGTCACTCCTTCCCCGGGTTGGGGATTAGACTCACTGAGCACAAGGCCCTTGCATCTCCGAGGGTCTGGGGGCTCAGTAAGTGCCATCCCATAAAAAGACTTTATTGAGATCAAGGCCTGTGTGTCTGCAAAGGACACTCTCTACCGGCCGCTGCACCCAGCACCTCCCTTTTATTCGCGCACATGCACCTCTCAGGAATGCCATGAAGTGGGAATGATACGATTCCTATTTTGCAGGCCAGGAAACTGAGGCACAGAGAGAGCCAACAACCAACCCAAAGTCACACAGCAGGGGGGGGTGGTGGCAGAGCTGGGACTCTCTCCGGGTCTGTTTGAGTCCAGGCTGCTGTTTAGGGGCCCTCTCCCCTCTGCCTCCCACGCTGAAGGCCCAGAAGGACTGTTACTCCCTGAGGAAGAGCAGTAAATAAGAAACAGGTGGGCTGAGGCCCAGGTGGTGATGCTGAATAGTAACACTCCCTACCCCACAGTGGTCGGCAAACTCATTAGTCAACAGAGCCAAATATCAACAGTACAACGATTGAAATTTCTTTTGAGAGACAAATTTTTTAAACTTAAACTATATAGGTAGGTACACTGTTATTAACTTAATTAGGGTACTCCTAAGGCTTAGGAAGAGCCACACTCAAGGGGCCAAAGAGCCGCATGTGGCTCGCGAGCCGCAGTTTACTGACCACGGCCCCAGGATATCCGAGTGTGGGGCTGGGGCTGGGGCTGGGCACCGTGAGGAGGCCTTTCCTTGGGTGAAGGAGTCAGCCACTGTAGGAGCGGAGTCCCGGGGTCACCGAGGCAGGCAGGGGCTCCCTCCAGAGACCTGCAGCCCAACACGAGAGAAAGGGTCACCCAGAGCTGAGGGAGTAGACCGAGGGGCTACTAGCTGGAACCCCCACCGGGATGAGGATGCAAGGCTCTGTGCTTGAGTTTAAAAATCAGAAACTGCAGGTAGGTTTGGTCCAGCTCCCCAGATAAAGACGCATTCCATGATAAACTCGCCCCTTTGTCCTCCTAAATGGAAAGGATTAAGTATCTTTTAGAGAATTCTCCCCTTTCAGGCTACGTGCAGAAATGTATTCAATTCACCCTGTAGTGATAACAAAACGTGAGGGAAATAAGAGACAATGTGCAGGAGGCCTGCGGTTATTACACAAAGAGCAGTTTTTCCTTGTCATAAAGGGAAGATTACACGTCGGGGAAATTAATCCGGATTAAAAAGGTGCACAGCCCACTCACCCTGCTCACTTCCCGGTCACACGGGAAGAAACGCTTCTAGGACGCCCTCCACAAAGTCTGAAGGTGGCCGGTTCACACAGGGCCAGGAGGGAAAGAGACGCGGAAGTCACGTGAGCGATTCTGGGATCCGACCTGCCTGGACTTCCGTTTCTCCTTTTCACCGTCTGTGCCACGTTACAAAGGCTCCAGCTGTGAACGTGAACAACAGTGAGCTCCTCGCGCACGTGGCCTCTTGGGCCCTTGCTCTGCGATCAGAGAACCATCAACATGCCAGACCACACCTGTGACCCACCAGCCATCATCACCATCATCACCACCTCTTAGCCCACAGAAACTTCCCACCCACAAGGGCTTCTGTCCCATCACCTCCTTTCATTCTTTTTCATTGCTATCACCAGCTAAAATTAACCTGTTTAACCCGGCCGGGGTGGCTCAGTGGTTGAGCATCGACCTGTGAACCAGGAGGTCATGGTTCAATTCCCAGTTAGGGCACATGCCTAGGTTGCAGGTTCGAACCCCTGGGGGGAGGGGACAGGAGGCAGCCAATCAATTATTCTCTCACCATTGATGTTTCTATCTCTCTTTCCCTTCCTCTCAGAAATCAATAAAAATATATTTTTTTTAAAATTAACTTGTTTACTTTTTTTTATTGTCTGCCTCCCTCCCCTAACCCAGACCCTGTGGTCCCTAATAGCAAGCTCCTCTCCGCCTCCTCCGACCCTGCATCGCCAAGGCCTGGCTCACAGCCCGTCATTGGCAAATATATGATGTAGATTGATGTTGTGTTCATCAATAAATAGAGGTTGCTTAAAAATTTCACAAATACTGTTAGGTTTTCTTTTCACATTGAGTTGGCTATGATATCTTAGGTGTCCTTGTTATAAAGTATACCACTGTCACTTTTATAAAGCGGCTATTCACTTAACACAGTGGTTCTCAACCTTCCTAATGCCACGACCCTTTAATACAGTTCCTCATGTTGTGGTGACCCCCAACCATACAATTATTTTCGTTGCTACTTCATAACAGTAATTTTGCTATTGTTATGAATCATAATGAGTATGCAATTGCGATGGTGCTGTGAAGATGCAGGGCCTCAGAGGGAGTAATGTTTGGGCTGAGATTTGAAAGATACATTAACTAGGTGAGCTCACTGAATCACCTTGCTAAAGAGTGATGAGGATTAGAGTTAAGGACCGAGTGAGAGTTGGAGTAAGGATCGGGGTAAAAATAGGATGAGCTTAGAGAAGAACTTTCCAGAAAGGAGGATGTTGACCAGGGGTGAGTGGATGGCTGAGTAAAATAGGGTGGAGACAAAATAAGTGGAGAAAAGAAGACAAATTGGGGGTCCTTCAGGAGGTAAAATATCAGGACTTGGTTTGTCCTTCAAGGGCAAGCAGGTGGCTGGGGCATGGACTTCGGCCTTCTCCTGGATGGGATCCCATTGGCCCTCCATGGCCAGCAACCTGGCTTCCAAGGGTTGAGCATCCGAGTGTGTGTGCCCAAGAGGATTGCAGATGGGCGAGCAGGAGGCCCAGGTAAGCGCCTGCCTCCGTCGGCAGCAGGGTTTCAGAACCTGGATTTAGGACTCAGGTAGCAGGATGTCTGGAGCTCTTGCACAGATGACTGTGGGCAATCAAGTGTTTACAGGAGCTTATTAAAGAGATCAATTGTGTCCAGGAGAACCCACACTTAATAGGTAACTGCTGCTTTATATAGCCCTTCCTACAACCAGTGTAGCTACATAAAGAACATAGGAAACAATGGGCCCCAAACATGAGCATCATGGGTCTCCCCCCCCCCTTCACACGCACACACCTTGATCAAAGAAAGAGTCCAATGTGGGGGGAAAAGTAATTAAAAAGTAAAAACCTTATGTAATGAAATTTGAAAGAAAACTTTTGAAGCCAACAAGCAACCACGGGCAACGCTTCAAAGGGCCCAGAATCAATGTTTGTCAATAGCAGTTTTGCATCCTTTAATTTATCTTTCATGAATGTAAAGCGTGATGTTATTAGGAGCTCATCCGTGCCTTAATTCTGTTTGAGATTTGATGAATCAGAACTCGATTCACATTCTGTGCGAATCCGCAATGTCAGAGGCCAGTGGCAGAAACCTCAAGTCACCTGGGGCTCTCATCCCGCAGCTGGGATGCTATTAACCATCCCGCATTGAATGCTGGGCTGTCCCTCACTC